ATCACCGTCTTAGATTACGTTCACATAAATCCAACTGTTAGTTTGCTGCCATTAAATATCGGTTTTGAAATTCGATGTATAATAAATCACGTAAAGGAATAGCAGATCAAGCTTTAATTACTCAGCCTACTCTTAAAAAAAACTTATTACGAAGAGTACATTTTAAAATATTTGTGGTGGTGTTTCTAATAACTTAGGAAAATTAGCTAAAATATTGAAAACCGACACAATAAATTTTACCTGACCAAAACAGGTCATATGTCACAACTTACTGAATTATTTTTAGATACAAAAAATGCTGATAAAATTTGGCTCTTAATTACGGTACATGCTGTATTATATAACGTAAACTAGTTTCTTCTACAATGCAAAAATCATGAAATAAAGTAAAATGGGAAAATATTTTCAAATTATGTTTAGCAATCGAAAACCTTATCAAAATATGTATGTGAAAACACCACAGTTTTTGACACAGTCTGAATAAAAAGCATCGTTTAATGGTAACTGGTTTTAGCATAAAAATTATGCTTTCATTTTCCAGCAGCTTATCTAACCAACCAAAGATGGCGAAAGAAAAGTTTTAGGTTTTTTGCCGGACCTGCATATTACCACAGTAAAAACCTAACCAGAAAATACATTCTGCTGTACAGAATACTGACATTTTGGCATAATTGAACATTTTCTAAAATGAACAAACATAAATTACATATACAGGATGGGTCAATAAAAGCCCGTTCTTTAATATACCATGAAATATTATAAATAAAAAAAAATCATTAAAGTTTATAGCTCCTTGAGGGGGGGGGGGGGGCAACATACGGTTTTACTTTTTACTTCCCGACTTCCCGAGCGTAAAGTAAATAAGTATTGTAACCACCGTCGGACGAATGGCTACTTTCGAGTTTTCTCCACGTTTCATGACACTTATTGTTCGAAACAGTAGGTCTGCCGTTTCCGTTTGTCGGTCGACCTGTCTATGTTTATTTTTATTGGACAGATAATTTTCGAAACTACCAGACCGACTGTGGTCAAATTTTATATGTATGTTAAGGATATAATTTCAATGATAAAACGGTAACCAAAGTTTGTCTAATCAAGCCCACCAACAATTTGTCGTCCCCTTATTATTTTGCCTAGTAAAGGTTATCTAAATTTTATAAAATAATGCCACTCCTGTACTCGCGGTTTATGAATCCCCCTTGATATTTATTATTATTATTATTATTATTATTATTAAGTTGAGCGACCGGGCAGAGGCCGAGGCCTGTTATGCCCGCGCTGGTGAGCGGGTTCTAAATCTACTAGTGCATTACTGCGTTGTTTGGGCTCGATAGTGATCGTATCTTTTTTTAAAAACTTGTAGGGATTGACTCTGCATGACCTCGATCGGAAGCATATTCCAAGAATTAAAAACCCTGTTCGTAAGGAATACTTGACGTGGTGTTGTATAGAACTTTTGCTTTTGCAACTTGAATTTGTATCCTCGCAGTCTAGGGTCCAGGTTCATAATGTATAATTGCCGAATGGGCGATATAGGGTTTGTGAGAGCCTGAAAGGTAGTGATAAGGTCTCCTCTTATACGTCTATCCGAAAGGGTGGTTAGCTGCATTAAAGAAAGTCTTTCATGGTACTGTGGTCTGACTCTACCAAAAGGCCTTCTGGTAGCTTTACGTTGCACGGATTCTAGCAAGTGGATATCACGTTGCAAGTCTGGGGTCCATATTGAATTACCAAACTCTAAAATTGGTCTTACAAAGGTTTTGTACAGTTTAGAAAATGCCACTGGGTGTATTCTAGAAAATGCCTTCCCCAAGAGAAACAGTACTGAGTTCGCTTTCTTGACAGTATGCGCTATGTGGTCAGACCACGTTAGTTCTTGGTTTATGAAGATACCCAAGTCCCGACAGCACTCAGTTTTGGTTAATTCGTTTCCACCTAAATAGTACTTACACTTTGGGTTTTTTTTTCCGATATGAAGCACGTAACATTTCTCACAATTCAGTGGAAGTAACCAATCTTTAGACCAGTTGTATATTGCGAGCAAGTCCTTTTTCAAAATTATATTTTTGCAGCTATTATTATATAATTTGATGTCATCCGCGTACATTGCAAATGGCGACTCAATACTGATTTTAAGGTCAGCAGTAAATGCAATAAAAAGTAGAGGGCCCAAAACCGAACCCTGTGGTACTCCACTTAATACTTTTACAGGTTTGCTGAGACTGTTTTCTACTTTAACACGGAAGGTACGATCAGTTAGGTATGCATCAATCCAATTGTAAAGCTTACCCGATATACCGAGGTGCTTGATTTTGTGAAGTAGTCGGCGCTTGGGAACCCGGTCAAATGCTTTGGAGAAATCTAAGTATAGTACATCTAGTGAGTTGCCACCATCATTCTCCTTAGTCCAGTCTGATAGACAACATAACAGGTTTGACTGAATTGATTTGCCAGGTAAAAATCCATGTTGCTCTATTGGGATTAATTGATGTTCATTTAGAAATTTTATTAATTGGTCGTATATAATGGATTCCATAAGTTTGATAATAATAGAAGTAAGACTGATTGGCCTGTAGTTGTTAGCATTGAATTTGTCACCCTTCTTGAAAATAGGTCGGATTAAGGCGGTCCGCCAGTCAAGAGGGAGCAGGCCAGAATGAAACGACTGAGTCATGAGAATGCATAAAGGTTTACAGAGGGTATCAGCACAGTTTGATAAGCATTTGGCTGTGATAAGATCTGGTCCTGGAGATTTGGAAGCATCTAGACTCGCCAGCTTTTTGTGCACCACGGTAGGGGTAAATACGATCTCGCTAAGTGATGTAGGGTTACTCGAACCGAGTATTTTGGGGATATGACCAGGAGGCTCATTTGTAAACATGTGAGAAAAAGCATCCGCGAATGTATCCGCGATGTCTTTACTATTTTCTATAATATCTCCGAAGGGACTTTGGATCTGTATCTTACCAACAGGACCCGAGAGCTTAGTATGGAGATATTTATCAGCCTTTTAGTGTCTTTAGACTCCGCGAGGTTTGATTCGTAAACGCATCTGGCCTCTTTGATAGTGGCCGATAGTCTGTTAGAGAACTTCCTATGAGTCTTGTAGTCACATTCGGAGCCAGTTCTTTTGTATACACGCCACAGCGTTCTTTTGTTCCTTATTAAACTTAAGATTTTTGCATTAATCCATGGCTTTTTGGATGATCTTTTATCGTTAACGAAGGTGGTATGTCGTGCAACAGTACTGTGAAGACAGCTCTTGAAAATTGTCCAGTTGTCAGTGACTAAAGATTTGGATAGCAATGAACGCCAGTCGAATTTACTTAGGCCCCGATTAACTGCATTATAGTCTATTACTGCCCTCTTTAATGAGACAGTTCTCGTTTATTACAGTTACTTTACAAAAATTGTTTGAGTAATATTCTCCAAATTTTGAATGTTGTCGATATCTCGCTTCTGCATCAAATGCCTCGTAAACGCATAGGTTCGGGGACGGAGTTTCAGACTTAACGAACGCTTTTCTGAGTCCATTGGGCGAATTGCTACTTTCATATTTTCTTGACGTGTCATGTACGGAGGAAGTGGTCCCCCGTCTACCTTTCTGTATGTCTGCCTGTCTGTCTATATCCATTTTTATTGAAAACGTAATCTCTAAAACTACTAGACCGATTGTTGTCAAATTTTCTTTATAATCGTCCCCACCACCATGACATCACCTCAAAAATTTATAATAGTATATATTTTTTTAATTTTATAAAATAAGACATTTCTGCACCTGTGATGTGTGAATCCGTGTCGATTTTCACCCTAGGCATTCAGATTTTTGGAAAAAAAAACAAAATTTGATAACAGTATTTTGCAATTTAAGTTTGAAAGTGCAAAACCGAATGCTGTGAAATTTTGCAAACGTTTTAAGTTGATCGTAATGATGGTAAATCGTTCATCAAAATGTATTCTTTTATCCTCTCCAAAAAAATTACACTGCACCTATTCAAACTGATATCTATGTCTTTACAAAAATGTTGATGATGTCATCATAAAATTTTGTAAAGGATAAACTCATCTGAAATTTGATTTTCTAGGGGCTCTCATAAAAAAAATAAATCCACAAAATCAAATTTTATAATTTGTGGAAAAAGCTGGAGGGAACTTGTGTCGAAATATCCTTCCACTTTTTTTTTTTAATTATAATAAAATGTGCTAAGATCAGACTAATCAGAGCATGTAACACTACAAAGGTCTTTCATTTAGGGAAATGATGACAAAAAACACACTCTATATAATTGAAACATTTTTTAATTTATGTGGCCGTCATTCTTCTAAATATCTATAATAATTAATGAGGTACAAGGAACCTTCGTTTATTGACCCACACTGTATATTTGTACGAAAAATAAAACTCAAAACTTTTAAAACCTGAAAGAATAATTCAATCTAAAGTCATAGAAAATATGCAATTTCAAAATCCTTTAAAATATACAATACTTACAATACCTTGTAGACATTCCCAAACATTAAAAATTTGAAAAAAAAATCATATCAACTAATTTACAAGTCTGTACCTACCATTAAGAATTATATATTATAGATATGTTTGACTTTTCTGTAAATTTGCCAAATTATATAACACAAATAGGTAACGATTTAACCAATTTTACAGTTCTTAAAATTTTGAAAAATAAAAGACTCAAATGTCTGAAAATGTGAGACTGTCTGATATAATAACGCAAATATATACCTAATGAATAAAATTAAAACTCTTAAATAACTACACTATACTCTTATTTTGGTACAGTTTTGTCTTTTTTGTATTCAAGATTTTAAGAGCCAAAATTTTTGTCCTTCATGCAGATTATACGCGACAACTTTATTTAATCAGTAACATTTTTTATAGCCAAATTTCCAAAATGAATAAAATAAGCTCCACGACCTCACCAAAAACTTTGAAGAAGCAAAAACTACAGAAACCGAAAATCTGAAACAGCCAATAAACTTACCTGAAAACCCGAACACGTGGGTAGCCCCAACTGGGTCCCATGCTGATGAGACGAGGCCGATGTAGACCCATAATTGAGCTGGTAGGCGGTGTCTAGGATCTTTTTATGGGCGGAAGCGTGGGCTCTATATGCCGACACGCTAAGCTTCATCGTTCATTAAACAGACACTGCGACTATCTCGCTGGTGGCGGTGATAGCCGCCTCCCGACGAAATCTCGCCCGCCAGGGTCACCTGAAACGCAAAAGCATTGAAAGCTACCGCTGTACCGCCCCCGTCTTGCAGAAAATAATTTAAGAGGCGACTGTTGAACTTTGCCAAATAAATGTCGTTAACGTAGGGTTTACAGATTTTTGCGTGGTCGTTATAAAAAATTAAGGACTTATCTGATGGTACAGACAAAAATCGAAAAAGCAATTATAATCGAACTGGGCGATGTCAAACGTCTGTAAATTTACTGTAACGTGGGACGTAAATGATGGTTTTCTAATATATAAACGAATACGCGTCAGACGAGAGGTAAAATAGCGCTAGTGATAAGCGCGTTCCGAAATGTCCATAATCTAGACGAAATAAAATACTACTGAAAAGTTAGAGCGGGTATTAGTTAGGTAACGTAAATTTTTAAAGCGTTGGGAGCTCTTTAGACTGGGTTGAATTTCATTCTCCGTCGCTTTTGCTATAGACTCCTCTTATCAAAACTCAAGTTGTGTACATTCATTGATGCATACAAGAGTTACGACAATAGCGACATACTTCAAAAATCAAAGCACAAACCTTGTTCATTGTACAACGAGCATTTTATTTCTCATATAACTTTACAGTACATTTTACTATTTGTTGCGACCCTTTGAACTTTCCTATGTTCGGAGCGTTGCAGGAAAATGCGTCGTGGTGGCTGCAATCTACATTTTTCCAAATTTTCCCGACCCGTTTGTTTTGTTACTTAACACTCATCCCTTCAACATTCTGTTTTCAGTTGTACAGTTATGGCTACACGACATGCACACACATATCAAATTAATAGTATCTTTATGTGCTGTCGATAGTAAAAAGGGCCGTATTATGTGAGACGTAATAATAACCGATCCGAAGTCGTAAAAGCTGGAACTCTTATCGGCCATTATTGGTGTTTAATTTATTACGTGACATGGATGTTTAACGTGCTTGATGATGATGCCCTAGACGCCCACGTCCACACACCACCCTCAGGCTGGGATTTTTTCCTCATAGAAATTGGATATCGACATGGCCGGTTGCCAGCCACGGCACGAATCAAATCAAAAGAAAAGGCTAATATAATATCGATTAAATCAGTGTACCGAGCAAAGGTAGCGTTTGTAGTAAACAAGTCTAATAAATAAGTCAATAAATTCGAAAAATTGTCTGCACTGGGAGACTGTGATGAGTTTATCTCTGTTTCGGTTTTAATTTAAAGTTTGGGTGTGTATCCATGTAAGTTTACTAATTTATTTTCGTTTTTGTACGCCAACGCATTCTCGCGTTGCTAATGTACTCTGTAATTAGTGAATAGGGCGTATCAAAGGTGTTTAAGATAATTATTATAATTTTTGCTACGAATTTAAGGACAGTGTCTGCTTTATTGATTTTCGCACAGCGGTGTCTATTTACATGTGTTGAACAAACTTTGACGTTGCCACAAGTTGCTAGAGCAATTAGCAACAGGAAGAAGCACTTTAGAATACTAAACTGCGTATATTGAGGCCCAGGGAGTAAACTCAAACATCAAGTGATATACACCAAAACATTAGCACCAATTTCCGGTTTAATAGTTATTTATGACACAAGTGAGTAAAGATTTTATCCACTGGCGGAAAGTTTAATACACAAGTGTCTAATTTGCACCAGTGGATAAAATCTCTTTAATCACGGGTGCAGTGAATTTTTTTAACAAATTTGTCTAAATCCTTTTGGTTTTAAAATTAATCACTTCTGTAAACAGTTTAAAGAGTGGATTAAAAGCGAACATTTTTATTTCTGATGATCAATAAATAGGTTTGCTGGTGTTGCAAAGTTATTTATTTTCGTTTGAAACTCCTGCAATTAGGTAATGAAACTAACTCACACGACGACGCCACCATATCGAAATACACTTTGTATTAAGCGGATGTAGTGATTAATGAAAGTTTTTAACTATTTTCGTTGTGAAAGTATCGCAGACATTATAAATTGACGTGTACTTTAAGAGATAACTCCAGAAAAATTAAAAATAAATAGTTGAACAAACCCCGACTTGATTAATCTCATATTTTTCCAGGTTCTAGGATGACAATAGCAGAAAGCATGAAAGACAAAACTTCAAGAAAATACAACTCTTCAGTTTTAATAAATGTTGCAAATCTTCTCCATTTGTGTTCAGAGGCGGCTTTTATTATTTTACCTCACACTAGGTAAATCCTCGGGCTTACTTTGACGCAGTTCATCTCTAAAAATAATTCAAACTTAAATCAAAACCAAGATGCCACATTTTCAGGATATGTAGCGAAGTAGATGGAAACTTATTCATCCCATGTTCGTAACTATTCTATTATCATCTAATAATAACCATCGAAAGTGAAGCGAATAAATTGACAATAGGTACTAGAAAGTTTAATTCATTGGTGGGGCCGATGATTGAATCAATTTAGGGAGGCATCTGAGTGACTTATTTAATAACGTTAATTAGTAGGCTGTTAGTTAACTTATTATTAATCTAATCAGAGTCCATTAAGTTGTAGGTCTACAGAAATTACAAAGTAATTAATAACAAACGGATCTAATGAAAGTTGTAATTAATTTTAAACTTCTTCCAACCGAATCGTGTTCTTTATTCGCGAACTGACGTGCATGAATCTTAGAGAACTCTCTTGTGGCGCAGCTGGGGTAGGTTATGCTTTGTAGGTAATTAGTTCTGTGTAAGTGTTTGTTATTTGTGTATATACATAAACATGTGTTTTTGAATGTCTTAGAACTGTATTTACTCACTCGGGAAAGCAGAAATTGTCTTGATCCTTTAAGGATGTGACTCCAGTGAATTATAATTGTGGCGTCAGCAAATATGACATTTGTTTACTTACGACAAAGGCCGTAAATTTAACTACGTACACCGTTGCCATGAAGGAAATGTATTTTGTTATTTTCCGCGTGTTTTAAAGGTACAAAGGTCAACGGATTGTACACTTTCTGTTTCATCAATTGGGTTTTCTTCTGGATTTCCATTTTCCACATTTTGGTTGAAATACTGTCTATTGAATTTACTGTTAGAGCCTTTTAACGTTATTTAGATACCAGACGCATCTGTATAACTGTTTGCTTAAATTCTCCACAACTTATTAAAAAATAAAACTAATTCATTACAACACAAAGAAACAAATTTATTGTGGTTAAACGTCACAGTAAATGTTGAAAAAGTTCACCATTTTGTTCAAGGTACATGTTCACTATCTTTTTATTTTCAAAAATGTCTTGTAATATCCTTTCGTCAATGTTTTGGACCTATTGCGCAATTTCAATATTTTCAAATTTAATCTTGTCAAAGATCTTTGCGGATTCTGCTCGAGTCGTCTCAAATCATCAACAACTTTCTCAAATACTCAAGGTCTTCCAGGAGATTCCCTTCTGTTTACACTGCGAGTTTGAACAAATCTGTTGATTACATGTCTATTGTGAGCCTCTAACGATGTTTCTTGAATTTGTAAATGAGTGTATTTGGCCAGATATTCTTGCTTACAAAGAGTGACAGAATAGACTCACTCTTCGTTTACCAATATCCCAATATTGGTAATATAATAAGATATAACAATGAAGATTACGCATTACTTCTGGAGGGTTCGCGATTGTTGCTTCGAGGTCGTTCTGGAGCACCGAGTCTTCTGGAGAACCGCTTCTAAGCTTTTCTTTATTGAAACACCGCCGTCGGTCACAACGAGTCACCGATCATCGCAGCAATGTACTAGAAAACCCATAGATGTCTTACCGGGACGGACTATGTGTTTACTTCGTAACAATATAAATATGTTAAATGACTTACAAATTTGAGAAGGTCTTTAATAAATATGATATATATTGGATTATATGCGTGCAGCTACTGTCGAATCAAGAGTGGTTCATTTTATTTTCCCGAAACTTTCAGAATACAGTACAGTTATTATTAGTATTGCAGTGCACTGATGATGTCATAACAAAATTTTGTTATGGAAAACTGACTTCAAACATACGCATAACATGCTTCTTTAGCTGTAGTTTAACAGTCCACACATAGCTTTATTTTAAAGGAGGTATCACAAAAAAAGTTAAAATTATTTACAAAATTAAATTTTATAATTTTTCGACAACCCTGCATTTGTTTGCTGTACTGCAGGAAAGCTCTGTGTAAGTAACCTTAGACCAATTTTTTTCTTATTCTAAGCCGTTCGCCGAATGGACCCATTACAATATCTCCATAGTTTACATTTGGGAAATAAAAAGAAACGAATGTTTGTGTATGAAGGAGAACTTGAGCCTGCAGCACTGTTTAAAATATATATTTTTATGTTTTTGTTGATCATACTTTTATTTCATTGCAAGAAAAATAAAAATTTGATGGTGTTTGTGGCACGATTTTTAGATCTAAAAAATATTGACAAATTGCTGACGCACTCTCCAAATTTACAGTCAAAGTTGAGTGAAAACGTTTCACCAAACTTTACACGGATGCATATCAATACTGAATCAGATCAATATATATATATATATGTATATGCAGTTAAAAGCATTTTCTGAACCAGTTAAAAGATTTTTTTTCAAATTTTATAGCTTTAACAATTCTTCTATTTTTGGCTTTTAGTATTTCTTTCGATGAGCGATTATTTCCAAAATTAAAGTTAAAAACAAAAATAGATGCACTAAAAGTTAGGAGCTTATTCTCCAAAAAGAACAGAAGCTGTTTACACATCTGGACAGAGTATTCAAAGTCTTCTCGAAAACCATAAGAATAAAGTACAGTTTAACAAAAAGTCGGCAATTTATGAAATAAGCTGTAAAGATTGTAATCAAAAATATATCAAGCAAACAAAAAGTTCAGTCATCACGGGATTCAAAGAACACATGGCTCACCTCAAATTTAGGTCTGAAAAATCAACTGTTATTGAACATAATTTTGAAAGTGACCACAGAATAAACGTGATTTTTTTTTTTAAATTAGTTAAGTTTGTTAATAATTGTAAATTTCAGACATTCACGAGAGTTTAGAAATA